TATATACACTAAGTGCATTGTAACAGTGCCTCTACTTGGACTGTAATTGAAACTTTCAATAATAAAAGCTAAATTAAGAATAAATTCCACCTATCTAGCAGATCTAAACAGATTAAACAGTAAAGTTTTAAGATTAAAAGTTATTTAAGTTGTCTGCTTTCTTTTTTTTTTCTTAAAAGTAAATATTAAATAAACATTGGAAATAAGAAGGCTCAACTGTGGACCCATACCGTAAAAACTAGGAGCACTAGGCAAGTGGTACTTAAAACTTAAAAAGCCAAGTACTTTTAGTGGATGTATCAGTAAACAGATGAAAGACTACGTGTAAACTAACACTAAAGGACACAGGAAGAATTTAGAGGCAGCTAAGTGCTTTTTAAAAATACTATGTCAATAGTACTAAATAGACCACTGCAGAAAACCAACCCCTACGAAAACACCAGCAGGCAATATATTGAACATATCTTTCTTTGGAATTAAATCTTAGTATCTTCTTGTGTCCAGTTACTAGAACACAGCAAGAATTCATTCACTGTTTCAGTAATAACAACGGTCTGCAACTGGTTCAAGGAAAAGTTTATAATGGAAAGCTAGAAAGCTGACAATCATCTTTGCTTTCAAGTTCTAAGAAGTACACTGAACAGAGATTTACTGGTATAACAGAAAAGAAGGGGGAAAACATCTAAGGACTAGAAGAAAGCAAAATCAATGGAAAGTTCATGTTGTAGCATATTTATAGTGGCAAATTTCTTGGAAGGCATATATGCATTTCAAATTCAGGAAATCAAATAATATATGTATTATCTGTTGAAATACTGAATGAACTACTGTCTATAAAAGCAAGAGGTTCTCCCTACTGGGTCTGCTAGAATAAAGAAGTTTCTACAGCTCTATTAAATCAGCTGAACATTTAGGAGCTAAAAACCAGAAAATAAATACAAACAAGAATCAAGTTACAGGGGAAAAATACAAGCTATGCTTAAGAGAAAACCTAAAACAGATGATCTATAGAGCCATTGCCTTAGGACTCTGGCTAGTGCTGATTGAATCACAAAAGTAAGGGCCACTGATGAAAGAGATTTACTATTAATATTACTCCCTGCGATGAAACCGAAAGATTTTTGGTCTACCACTACTGTGTCACCTTCACTACAATTTACAAATCTGAAGAAAAAATACAAGAGGGGCAACCCTGGTGGAGCAAGGGGTTAAGTCACAGCACGATGAAGCGATCCGCAGCCACTGCAGTACAAGTTCGATCCCCGGCCAGGGAGTTGACCCACATGGCACAGCAGACCTCTCCTGTCTCACTCACTGCTCTCCTCAGCAGTGTATTTCAGTAGATCCACCTGTTCTGTTCCCCACTTTGTCTCTAGGGAATCCTCTCGCCCCCACCCCCACCCCTCTGGCCTGCACCCCAGCTCTGATATGCATAAATAAATAAATCTTTAAAAAAAGAAAAAAAAAAACAAAAGAACTGTAACAACTATGCATTTATGCCATGTATGGTATGACAAAACATGAAAGAATGCAGTTTTATTACATTCTCAAACAAAGGGAGGCAGGTCATAGGATGACAATGGTTAAACTAGTCCTCAGTGGTGGGAGGGTGCCCCTTATCCTTTCCTGCCACCGCTGCCTTTTATGCAACTTGGCTGAGAATGAGTGGGAGGAAACTGGCACTCCAAGCTCTGGTTGGCCTATGGCTTTATCTTCTTTTCCTCAGTTCCACAATGTTCTGCAAAATAGAGTCATTTAATACCACCAGGAGGTGCAACAATTATGGAAAACACCCTCTCCCACCCTCCAGAAAAGTGTTCAAGGTCTCAAAAGCCAGTATTCGAAAGCTATCTTTACACTTAACAACTGCCACCATACAGGATCTAGCAGTAGTTCCAGGGAATGCATTTTGAAAAGGAATGCATTTTCCTGTTTGAACTAAATCTCACTGGATAGGGGCATACCATAAATAAAAGTTCTAGTTTTCCTGAGTCATGGATTCCACTTATTTATTGCAAGAAGTATTTAAATATAACATATTGATCATCATGTTTTCAAAAAAATTTCCTTTACAACCTTAATTGTCTCCAGAGGATAATGTCTTTCCAAAATTTATTTTCCAGTGTGAAAAACAAGTTCCATTTTTTTCCTTGATGGACATTCCTGTCTCCAAATAAGCTACTGAAGATGGAAAGTCTCACTTCAGCCCAATCCCCTCATTTTGCAAGTAAGGAATCCATGGCCTGGAGATTCACATGATTTGGCCTCAAATCATACCTGCAGCTTGTGAAAAGGGCAGTGCTGGAATCTGAAGTCAGGTCTCTAAATCCCCCAGTATCCCTTCTATCACAAAAGCCTTCATGATATTAATTCAAGCTCTAAGAACAGTTGTTAAGTATGCCATTGTTTCATCATTTCCAAGTTCCCTTATCTCCTCATCTTCACAGCAGCCGTTGCACTGCTCCACATCACCTCCATTATGGCATTGTAAGGTGTACAGTCTGGCTGGACACAAAGTCACAGGTACATGGTTCTGTGAGTTGCTTACATTTTTTAGAAGGAATTTCTTTTCTACTAGTGAAAGATGAAAATCTAATGCTAAAGCATTCCTCAGTAAAATAACCTCATGTTCTAATCTTAACATCATATGTCACATACCCATGAAAGTTTTTAAAAGTCCTGGAGGCAACAGTCTTACATTTTCTAGAATAACTTCAGGTCTCCATTCAAAGTGGGACAGTAAAAAGGAAGAGAAGTTATTTTTCAACAACAGTTCTTCCATTAGATGACTTGGTGACCACTTACATGGCAAATTTAATATGAAGCACTTGGAGAATGGTAATGGAGGTGATAAAGAAAAACAATATAAAATCAACAACAGCAGCAGAAATACTGCCTTGATTTCTGTCTCCTGAAAAATGTACAGCCTCTTCAAATTTTTGAGTACCACAAATTTAGTCCTCTAAGATAGTAAGGTGTTTCTTAGGTGTTTTCTCCGGCTTTCCTTTGGCTTAGAAATAGTGTTTTGAAAAGACTTTGCAACGTTTAAACTATTAAAAGTGGCACCTTAGTCTTTCCACCATATTAAAAAACAACCAATGAACCAACTGATTAGTCAAGCTAATTTCCATTTGGAAAAGAACCATGACTTTATCTTTGGAGAGCAAAAGCACAGGGTATATAGAAAGGAAAATAGTTAATAAAGGAAAAATTATTAAAGGAAATCACTTTTCAAACATGGTGCTTATCTCTTAATGAAAATTATCTAACACTACAGGCCATCTGCAACAGTTATCAAAAGTAGAATGATATGCAACCTCAGTCTTTACCCTTTAATCCACACAACCACCTTCTAAGGTAATTATCTATTGTTACTTTTAACTTGCATCTGAGAAATCTGAGGCACTATAAGGTTAAGTCACTTGTCAAGGTTATAGAGCTTGAACCTAGCTCTGCAGGTTCTGCAACCTGTGCCCGTAGCTACGGCACTCCATTGCCTTCCTGGTAGCAAAGAAAATTTTGACAATAAGTTCTCTCTGATGCATTATGCAAGTCACTGTGAATTATTTTTTTCTGGTGTCCAGAAAGCCTCAACAGCTTGCCAGTTACACTTCCTGATTTTAAGTTGGATGGGTAGAGCCACTGAACCATTTTTGTAACCACAGTTACTGCATGATCACTAAAACCCAAAAGGAAGGGGATTGGTTAAATTCTTAAACTTTATTTCCTGTTGGCCTAGAAGAATTTATTTAATCACTATTCTTTCTGGTACGCTAAATATGTGTTAAGGTTTTCCTAGAACAAAAAGTCACTCAAGTTACCAGCTAAGTCTTAAAGGAAATCAACTATGTATTAGTCACTGTACCTGTCAGGGAGGTTAAAAGCAGATCAACAGGATATAAACCTGGGTTGTTTTCTTATTCAGGGGAAATTTTTTAACGGCTTCGTAAAGAGAATGGAACAAATGGCCCACCGAAAATAAAGTGTAGTGGGAAAAGAAACGGAGAAAATCACAAGGAGTTATTCGGTGATCCGCTTTCACTGGTGTCAGAAAACCAAAGGGTGAGTCTTCTCTTGAGGAACTTCAGCCTGATCACAATGGCCACTTGTTACACCTACCACCCACTCCACCACTTGAGGTTCATTAGGAATTACAACTCAACAAATTAAAGACCTACCCGATCTGGCCCACAGTCTCCACCCACACCCGGAGCGACGCAGCGGGACAGGGCACCGCGTCCCCCACCACGGAGCCTCCGCTGTCGCCCGGGAGGCCGAGCCCACACACAGCCCGGGGCCCAGCCTGTCCTCCGGTCAGGGCAATGACCCGAGCTCCAGGCCACCCCGCCCCCTGCTTCCTCGAACATAGGCTGGGCACCCAGAGGTGTCGGGGCGGGGGCAGAGCCAGGGGCAGGGAGGACGGGCTCAGGGAGAAGGGGGCTCCGAAGCCGTCCCGAAACCAGGAAGGGGCCCCTCCCAGCCACGCCGGGAGGGACGGAGGACTAGGGCCGGGGCGGGGGCGCCGCCATGATGGGGCTGGCCGAGCGGGGGGCGTGACGCGACCGGCCGCGCGCCGGGCCAGCTCCCCTGCCCCCTTGGCCGCCTACTCCGCGTGGGCCTGGCCACAACTGCCCCTGATACTCACGCTTTGTCCACCAGCTCCCGCACCTTCCACATGTTCAACATCGCGTCCCGCGCGGGCCGGCCCGCCGCCTCCTTTTGCCGCTCCCCACGGAGCCCGGAGCACGTCGGCACCGGGGCAGGTCCAGGCCGGGGTCGCCGCAGCCGCCCGCCGCCTCCAACTCCCCAAGTCAGCTCCGCCTGCCAGAGCCGCGGCGCCGCCGGTGACACGTCGAGACGCGGGGGCAGCGCGCTGCGTGGACCGGAAGTGCCCGGCCTTCCGCCCGCGCGCGCAGGGCACGCCGGGACGAGTAGTTCAGTCCGCGCTCCCCCAGGGACCCGCCGAGCTGAGGTGGGGGCGGCGTCCAAGTTGGAAAGACTTTTCCTCAGTTCTCCCGTTCTCCGCGTCCCGCCCCGCCCTTCGTCACCAACGGAACCAGAACTCGGGCTTCAGGCCCAGCCAGGTGTGCTTTAGCCCCCGCACTCTCCGCCTCGGAGGCGCCAGGGGCGCTCTGCTCGCGCTCGCACAGGCTCTCCCAATATCCAGTCTCCGGAGGTGATCAGCTGTGGTTCCACCGCGCTGTGGTTGGCAGGTGCGTCCCTCCTGGGCCGACGCCCCGCTGGAGTTCGTCCCAAATGACCCTCCCGGTCCTTGGAAGGGGATGTGTCCTGAAACCTCTTCCTCTCTATGTGGATACTCAGGTTTTCTGGCCAAACGGCCCCCTGCTGTGAGAGTTAGTCATTTACTGTAAACACCAAAAACTTAGTTACCACGCCATGGAAAACTGTTGAAAGGCAAGGGGACAACTCTGTGACACACCCAAGAAGTTGGCAGGATTGTGTTCTTAAAGTCTAAGTGCACACACACGCTGCATCCAGTGTTTTTATTGCGATGCTTATTGCCATTTCGCACTCATTTTTGACAATGTTCTTGTTAAACCTACCAGTAACCTTAAAGTTATCAATAATTTGGACCAGCTCCTTACATTTTGGTTCCTTTTAGTCGACAGGTAGTCATCGAACATCTTCTCGGTGCAAGGAGTGAGGGATACAGAAGCAATCTGAGAAAAACAGAGCCCTTCTCAGGATGTAACACTAAAAGGAGAGACTTTATATCCCTTCCATCTTAAAGGTCTTTGGAGGAAACAATCAGGCAAACATTTGAGAGAAATGCTGATAGAAAGAAACAGAAAGTAATGTTAAGAGGAAAAGAGCATTAGGAAATGTTTAGGGCTTCTTTGAGGACATTATAGTTCAGCTGAAATTTAAGTGATGCAAAAGAGTTGACCATAAAAATATCTGCAAGAAAATTAGTTACTCATGAAACCAGTTAATAACTATCCTAAATCAAGACTCCAGACTCTCCGACCCCTCATACCTCGGGTCAAGTCAACTTTTCTTGTTGCATTCACTTAATTACAGAAAGGGTTTCAATACAGCATTGAGATTAAGGTCAGAGAGAATTGCCAGATTGAAGGAATTGCCAGGCAGAAAAGTACAAAAAACAGACATCTGGGTAGAGTTGTCATAGAGTTTTGTTGACATAGAGTGCTTGGGCTGACAAAAAGTGAATTTGGAAGGTGGCGTGGGAGAGCGGGTAACAGTGAGCAGAGAGAGGTAGAGGAAAGAAGCTTTTAAATAAGAAATTTGCGTTTCCAGCCCAGGATTCAAAGTATGGAATATGGCCAGAGGAGATAAGAACGAGAAACTACTTTGCATAAATAAGAGTTCAGCAAGTTAATTTTCAAACAAGCAGGTCCAGGGTACATTGGCAGCATGGGTATGATAAAAAAATAACCACCTTCCCCACTGGGCCAGTTTGCACATTCCTAGCAGTTCAGCATCAGCCTCACCAGTTACCAGAAGAGTACAAAGTCGTCTTCTTTGCTTGTTCCAACACCAAATTTGGATGTGTCTAGACTTAATCCAGAGTTGTCACCTGTGACATTTCGCAGTCAGCTTGGTGCCAAATGTAACACCAAAACCTGTGCCCGTCTTTGAGTCAAGAGAGTCTTTTGTGGTCTCAAAAGAACCAGACAAGGGAATTTGTTCAAAAATGATCTCCAGAGACTAACCATTTGCATGTCAACAAAGTGTTCCATTTATACCTGTTTTTTTTTTTTTTTTGCAAGTTTTGGAGCAGTTTCCATAGTAACTTCTTTGTAGGAATTTAAATGTGTCCATAGTAGAAAAATAAAGGAGAGAACGTTCCACCTACCTCTCCTCAGGAAAACATGTATTTTTCAATAAATGAGCTAATATTGTTAGTAAGACCAAACCAACACAAGGTCCAAAGCAACTGTGCTCTGCTGTGTTATTTATGTGAATAGTTGCAGACAATGCACACTGACAGCTTAGGTCCCATGGCTACCTCCTTGGTGTTTCCTTTGGAGGAGTTTAATTCATGGGACACAGGTACGATAGCTTCTCCCCTACTCCCCCCGCTCCCAGACCTTTCTTCAAGAGAACCAGTTGTGAGGAGTGCCTTCCAGCAGCCACTCTTCAGAATCAGCCACAGCATTTATGCGAAGGCCAGGCTGTCACCAGGCTACTCCAAGGCAATGACTGAGCAAGGTGTGCTGGGGCCAGGCCATATCTGTCCAGTGCATGACTTCTCGATGTGGCAACTGCCATCCTGATCTCGCCTGCCCAGATTTCCTCAGAGCTTTGCTGCAATCAGACAGATGCTGTTCCAACCCTATCTTCCTTCCCTCTCTCCCTTGACCTATGTCCCAACTTCCTTGTGGTCTGAAAGTCTCCCCACCTGTTCTTGCTCCTTCTTCTCTTTATCCCGCATAGGCATTCACTCCAACGAATATCACACTTCTGATTCCATCTTGATCCATCTTCCTGCATTACCCAAACTGACAACAGACACACGTTGGGCTGTTTTCAGTATTTGCCTCCATGAGTCTTGCTTTGGCTCACAGCTGTCTGCTTCTCCCTGGGAGTTGGGATACTTGGTTTCTGATCCTATTAAGAAGGTTGCCAAGCAGATTATATATTGCACACTCTGGGGCACCATTTATGTGGACTCTCAGGAATTCCAGACAATTGAACTCAGAGAGGAAGGATAAGACAGGTTACACGTGTGGATTCTGGGCTTAGACAAATGTAGGCACAAATTCTGCATCTGCTATTCAGTAGCTTGGTCATTCTGGAAAAGTAAACTAAATCAGCATAGTGTAGTACTTGTGAACTGGGAGGCTAGAGCCAGACTGACTGGGTTTGAATCTTAATTTTGCTGTGTGACCTTGGGGGAAATTATTTGCTATTTTTGTGATCAGTTTTTTCATTGTAATGGGAGATATGGAAGCCCACCTTAAAGGCTTAGATGATTAAGTAAGTTATAAGGAACTTATAATAGCACCTGACACAAAATAAGCACTCAGTAAAATTGAATGATACTGCTGCTACTATTAATAATTACATATTAATCTGTAAAATTTATTCAATATTCAACATGTACTTGGTGAGCACCTACTATGTTCCAAGCATTGTGTTAGATGACGGTTATGCAGGTTTAGTAACAAATGTAGTTAACAAGCAAATAGATGTAGTAAATACAGTATACTCAAAATAATGTGCTGAGGAGCAAATGAATAATTTATGTAATTCACATCATAGTAAATACTCAATAAATTCTACATCATCATTATTATCAAATCCCTTTTCTTATGTAGACCTCAGCTTTTTTCTTTATAAATGCAGAGATTTGATTTGTCAGAGTATCCTAAACTTAGCTGAAAATCAGAAATTCCTAGACACTCTACTCTTAAAAATTTCATATTCTTTTGCCTATACCTTGAAACCCTGATTCAAAAGGTGCATTTTTCCTTATACTTCTGGTAAGTATAAGTGACAGAATTTCAAAATTAACTTTAAGCAGAGTAAGGGAATTTATTCAGACTGGAGTCTGGGTCATGCAGAGATAGAATTTGCCTCAGGAATTTAGCAAATATTACCAGAACTCTCTCTCATTTTCATTTTCCTTTATTGCAGTTAGGTTTCTCCTAATTGACGGGAAATAGGGTTACCACCTTCTAGGAAATAGGTACCATTTTTTCAATCAGGCAACCAAGGGGGAATGAGACACTTTATATTTCATCCTCTGAGTCCAATATCACAGGGAATGCTCCGAATGGGTCGATTTGGAGCCTGTGGTTCTCTCAGGGCTGGTCACCTCTAGGAAGCATGCATTACAGAATTGGTAGCCCTGGAACAACATGCAGTGAGGATAAAAGAGTTTTCTGAAAAAACTGAAGAAGGAACTGTCCTGGCAGACAAAAGAACAGTTGTTTATTATTGTAGGTCTAAGGTCAGGGTCTAGGAATCTGAATTTTTATTTTTTATCCTTTTATCCTTTTATGATGAATGGTCTTTTTCCAGGCCATTTTTACTGAAGTGACATTGTATCATAACATTATATAAATTTCAGTTGTGCATCATTAAAAATCAACATCTGTATATAATACTACATTAAGTTCACCACTAAAAGTCCAATTCTATCCTTCACCAAACCATTGACCCTTTTACCTGATTTGTCCCCCCTCTTACTCCCTGCCCTTCTGGTAATCACTAATTGGTATTATAGTCTACAAGTTTATTTTTGCTTTATTTGTTTTCTCTTGTATATGCATATGAGTGAAATCATATGGTATTTGTCTTTTTCCATTTAACTTCATTAAGCATAAATCTTTTAGGTGTGTGCATCCAAGTTGTTGCAAATGGAAGGATTTCACCTTTTTTTTTTTTTTTTTTTTAATACTAAGTAGTACTCCATTGTGAATACATACCACATCTTCTTTATGCATCTGTTTCCAGCTCATGGCTATTTTGTAAGTATTGCTGCACTAAACTTGGAGGTACACATGTCTCTTCAAATTAGTGTTTTTATAATTTTAGAAGTGGGATAACTGGACCATGTGGCATTTCCCTATTTTTAATTTTTTTTGAGGAATCTCCATACTGTCTTCTATAATGGTTGCACCAATACAATCTCACCAACAGTGTACAAAGATTAGGAATCTGTATTTAAAGAAAAGCATTTAAGTGACTTTGCCAAGTTTTGTGATGCGCTGGGTTAGGTAACAAAAGATCCTTTCTAGCTCTGACACTGTGTTGTTGTTTTTTTTAAGGCCCCAGTTCTACAAATATAGCTGTACTGGAGAGAGCAGAAGAGAAAAGAATATTGTGGGGGCTCAGAGGAAAGCAAAAGAAGTGTTGACATGTTGAAAGGAGGTAAGTGGAGTTGTGTGTGCAGTGCAGAGGATAGGCTGGCGACAGGGCATGCCCTCGCTATGGTTTGGTTCTCCTGACAGTTGGGCTCTTCTTGGATGAAATTCAATCTCCTTTCAGGGCTGCCAGCAGGGCTCAGGTGGGCCTATTCAGAAAGCCTGGTAGGTGCTCTCAAGGGCTGACACACTTGTAATCCTTCTGCAGGACTTGCAGGCGCTGTGGGAGGTGAAATGGAGGTACAGTGCTCTTGAAATCATTTTGCTGCATCCCAGGAGGCTCGCTCTTTCTCCTGACTACAAGAGAGCAGAGTGGATGTGCTGCTCCTAGATCTGGCCTCTGAAAATTTCTAGTCACAGGGAGCCACAATGCCATCAGTGAAATAAACCCGGCCACTTATGGCTGTGGGAACCCACTCTGCATTGTCAAATCAGATACAGGGGAGAATAAGGTGGCTGTCAGACAGGACGGACTTGCTGGTTTCTGAGGTGGGGTCTTTCTGGGAAAGCTTCAGGTGTCACACAGAGTCTCTGCCAGTCCTTGAACTATATCAATCCCTCAAAAGAATTGTGCTCTAAAGAAAGAGTTCATGGCAAGGGACATCAAAAGAGTCTGACAGACAGACCCCTGCTCTTTAATAACCAGAATGAGTGTAGCTATAGACACTGGGGTGCATAGCACAAGGTATACTTCCCTATTGGGAAAGAGTTAATGTTAACTGTTTATCGGATACATATAGTGTGCAGTGGGGTTAAATAAAGGACTGAAACCTGTTGTTACCCAAGGAGCTTATAGTCTAACCTGGAAGATGGACATGAAAACAAACAAAAGCTACAGTGAGATGTTTAAGAAGGTAGCATGGTAAAGGGAGAGGTCAGAGCACCAGCTGTGGTGTCAGCAGGACCTTGGTTTGACCCACGTAGCTGTGTGACATTAACTAACTTACTTGACTTCTCTGTCCTCAGAACCCTTGTTGGGAAAATGGGGCTAAGTGTCCCTGACTCATTAGGTTTTTGTAGGGAGTGAGTGCGAAGATATGCATGAAATTTCTAGCATTGTGCCCAGTGTAACAAGAACTCTTTAAATAAGATCTGCTATCATTGCTAAACTGTCCAGAGATCATGGGTGATAGGGGAGAGGGTGTTAAAGCTGGCTCATTAAATCTTCCAAATACTTATATATTTGGGCACGTGCCTATTGTTAAGAATCATAGTGTGAAAAGCAGACCTGATTGCTATTCTCATGAAGTTTGCAGTCTGGTGGAAGAGATGGAAATGAAACAAGTAAGTCTACCCTTATCCCCAATAAGTCTGTGCTTGCAAACTGTGATGAATGCTTAGAAGAGAACAGGATGCTGAGTGGGCACATGGCAGTGATATTTGCCTTAGAATGGGCAGGGTGAGGGCCAAGACAGTTAATGTGGGGGTGGAAAGATTATTTTGAGTTAATGATCTAGAGAGGGAAACAACATTTAGATAGAGACAACAGCTTGTGTGGAGGCCTGAGGTGAGAGGCAGTTTGGCATGTTCTGGGTGTGAAAGAAGGTCTAGTGAGGCTAGAAGGAGAGGAGCAGGGTCCTCAGAGAGGAGCCGGAGAGGTTATTGCTGCTTAATCTGTTCTTCATCCTGTCTGCCCTACCCTGTGCCCTCCTAACCTCTACGTACTTACATTCTTGGGGCTACCACACTGACCTACATTCTTGGGGCTCCTGCCTTCCTGTTGGGCTCAGCATGCATTCCGAGGTAGACGAGAAGACAGAGGAGAGAGGTGGTGATCTTTCTTAGTCCTTCCTCCCTGACTCAGAAGTTTGGTTCTAGCACTAACCAAGGTCCTCTGGGGCCACTGCTGGTAAGATAGCCCCCTTCCATGGCTCCAGTTCTGAAGTTTCCATCCCTGGCCTCTTCAAACTTTTGGGGAACAGTGTCTTCACCCTGACCAGTGGCTCCCCCAAATGCTGTTAGTTTTCTGACTTTGACTTCACTGCTGTGAAGTATCCTTCTGTGATGTTCTCATCAGCTGAACTCTGAGTGTACAGTGTTTACTGCTGCAGCCCTGCCTGATGTCAGGATTTGCTACATGGAAGGATTGAGTGTCAAGTTAAGGACTTGACCTTTTTAGACTTTTATCTGAGGAGCCACCAGAGCTGCAGACATGCTACGGTTACTTCCTTGTTGCCTCATCTTCCAGCTGGAGCTGGTTTCTTTGCTCCCTTTATAGAGAATGTCTTCATCACAAGCATTACTTCTCAAGCCACAGTAGATTCTCTTCCTTCTCGAAACTCCCTGCTCTCTTACCTGTTGTGAATCCAGTCTCCTTGTTCTTCCTATATGTCAGGTGCCTCAGTTTTATCCCTCTCTCTGGGTTGGAGACACTGAGGGGTGATCTGGGGCTCTTTCTTCCATCTCTACTGCCAAAGTCAACCACAACCATATCTTGCTTAAACTACAAGTAAATAGTTCAGGCAAGAGATGATTGTGCTTGTTCCTCTATGATCTTTTCTAATCACTGATCAGACCATTTATTTCCTGTGAAAAATAGGCCTAAAATGGCTTCCCTTAGCACTTAGGACCCTAACTGGACCTATCAGTGTCCATGCCTAGTCCAGACAACTGCAGACAGGAGGAAACACTGGTGCTGTGTGACCTTCCTGTGGCTTAGAACACAAGGGCCAGTTCTGAGAAAAGAGGGTGGAGGTGGACCATGGACCTGGAAGGAAATCCTGAATCTGTCACTGAAGAGTGACTGTACATTTTTTTTTGTATGAAGATATTTATTGCAACATTTTTATAACAGGGAAGAACTAGCCATGGAAAGGGAATTGGTTAAATTAACTGGTTCATTATATAGCATACTATACACATACATGTTGATATAATTCTACATGCATTAAAGAAACAAGGCAAATTAAAAAAGATATGTTACAGAGTTATATATTATTTTGCCTTATTTGTGTAAAATAGTATAGTACTTCTTTTCTTACATTAAGAAAAGGTAAGATAGTCCAGCCAGTCCTCCCTAAGGGTAAGTCTTTGTGGTATTTTTTTGATTTTTGTAGTATCTTGAACTTTCAGTTCAGGTTTGCAAGTTACCCAGATCTGGTTCTTGATTTGTTTATCCACCATCCTGAGGTTGCTTCTGCTACTCTCATTCTTTCTGTTGATTTGACTAGTTTCAGAATGCACTGTTTTCTTCTCCTGTTTAGTGCTAAGTATCTATTCCGTTGACACCTTGTTATTACAGAATATGGGTGTCATGAGTTCTGTTTTGCTTTGTTTGCAAGTAGTTTCTGACTGTGGAGTCTGTTTTTCCTGTGTGTCAGCACTTCTCTTGAATTATCATTTGAATCTATGATTTCTGGTGGGTGGTATATAAATCTAAACCTGTTGGGCAGGTGTAGCATTAGAATGTTCCCATCTTGGATTATTCACCCTGAAAAGTTGTGGATAATTGATCTGGTTCGCAGTGCCCAAGATCTGACAGGCTCAAACTCCTCTTGGGAGTGGAGGGAGTAGAGAAAAAAGTTGTTATTTATTATTATTAATATTTTAATACAGATTCAAACTATTTTCTCCAACTTTTTCTTTAAAATGTTAGTTTTTTAAATAATAAAAGTAGAATATACTTATACATCCTCACATATCTACCTTTTGACCCAGCATTTAAAGCTGGGTCAGCTATTTATCAAGAGAAATGGTAATCTATGTCAAAATTCTCATGCAAGAATATTCATAGTTGCTTTATTCACAGTAGTAAAAGTCTACAAACAACCAAATATCCATTGACAGGGTGTGGATAAAACAATTGCTATACATCATTTGGATGGACTGTGACTCAGCAACACAAAGAAATGAACTACAAATATATGCACCATCCTGGATGAATCTCATGGCCAAAGCAGTGAATGAAAGCAGCATGATACAAAAAGTTAGATAATATTCTACAACAGGTGATTTTAATCTAAGGTGAAGAAAATTAGAAATTGCCTGAGGCAGAAGGGGAAGTGTCAGGACAGGAGAATCAGACAAGGGTGAAATACACTTATTTCAACAAATGAAACAATCCAAACATGCAAAAAGAAAAGCTAATCTTTTCCCATTTATTTTCATTTCACTTTGGAAATCCTGTTAAAAGTTTGATATGTATTTTCCCACACTGTCTCCATAGTTACACAAATATAAACACATATAGGCACACATATATAGGTTTTGCTTTAGGATCATGCTATATGTAAGGCTTGCTTTTTAGAAATATCTGCCTAGTAATAGACCATAGCTCTCCCTCCAGCCCAGCAAATATAGACTGAACTCATTCTTTTTAACACCGATCTAATGCCTTAATATGAAGGTATCATCATTTACTGAATTATTTTCCTTTTGATGGTGTAGGGACAGGATGGCCATCGAGTTGGTTCTTTATGATCTGAGCAGACCGGTGGGAAAAGGAGAGTCTTGGAGTCCTCAGTGGCTTTCTCAGGCTTTTATTGAGCTTTTACATGTACTGAGGCAAGGCAGGAGGTGCCGAGAGGCGGGAGTGCCGGGAGGCAGGAGGCCACTAGGCCTCCAAGCCCCCAGCAAGTCTTTACTCAGGGCTTCTTTCTCCCTTTCTCTCTCTCCTGCCTCTTCTCTTGCTTCTCTCTTGCCTCTGCTTCTCTTGGCCAGTATCTCAATACTGCTTGCCATGGCCCACAGAAGTAAACAACATAATTTACAACAATGTAACAAAATGCAGATGTCCCATCAGGCAGGGCAATCCCAGTGGCAGGAGGGCAGAAAAGCCTGAAAACCATTTACCCTACAGATGGGTTATCAGGTTATTTCTACTTGAATTTGCCACTGTAAACAATGCTGGAATAAAATAAATCTCTGTCTAGCCTTCTTTACATATAGAGTTTAGAATAGATTTTCAAAAGTTGGACAGGGAAGGATATATGAATATCTTTTAAGTGTCATAGGATAGGGCTTCCCTGGTGGCACAGGTTAAGACACAACATTATGAAGCTATCTGCAGCCACTGCAGGACTGAGTTCGATCTCCAGCCAGTGTGCATGGTGCAACAGACCTCTCCTGTCTCACCTGCTGCTCCCCTCAGCAGTGCATTTCAATCTGCCTATTTGGTTCCCCACACTGTCTCTGGTGAATCCTCTCACACCCCCCACACCTCTGGCCTGTACCCAGTTCTTGTATGCATAAATAAATAAATCTTAATAAATAAATTGTAGTGGGATATTGGCAGATTGTATACAAAGAGATCATAGCAGTTCTCATTATCACTAGCATCATATTGGAAAGCCTCTGTTGTCACATTCTCACTAGTACTCAGTGCTACTGCTTTCTTGAATTTTTGCCAATTGGACTGATAAAACTATGTTGCCTTAATTTCAAAGTACTTTTGGAAAAACCTATGCTCTCATACCTTGTATCAAAGTCCCTTTTAACTTCTCTCCTATTTTCAGTCTTGTTTCTTCTTGGCCAATGTGACTTATGATCCTCAGAGTGACACTTTCAAGAGTACTGGGACTGGGGGTCAGGAGGTACAGGTCCTGGGGGCAGGAGCTATTCCCATGGTTGGTTGGTTGGTTTTCTCCTTCAAATATTCAGCCTAATCAGATGAAATGAGCCATACACCTAGAGATTTGAGAAGGAATTTCTAGGTATGTAGGGCACTCCAGGGAGACCCCAAAAGGAGTGACTAGACCAGAAAATAGATAAGCTGATTTGCCTCCACTTGCTTCCCCCAACCTGTTTGCCTCAGGATGCTTCCTGCAGATGTTAATGGTTAAAGTTGAGTTAGAGGAGAGGGTGGGGAAGAAGTGAGAACAAAATGCAGAGGGACCACAATGGACTATGATGGTGAACTGTGGGTACGTTGGTGGTGGTTGTACTATGGTAACAATATCTGAAGAGGGTATCCATATTTCCAAATACAAACCACAATGTAAACCAACCTTCCATGTCACAGTATCTGCTTACATTCATCCTAATGTCAACAGGAATCTGTAATTTTTTTCATTTATTTATTTACTTGTTGCATCAGATAGGGTGACAGAACTGAGAACAGAACACAGAACTCAGGGCGTCTCATTGAAGAGAGTGAAACAAACAAGCCTTTAGTGGAGGCAGGGTCAAGTATAAGGGTATGAATAAGTATGTCGATTACCTGGGACCGCTGGCAAAGAGGAGCCACTGCCTCCAGTTTCTGTATCCTGTCTGTGTGACACACTGTTCCCAAATGTAGTCACTTTAAAAAAACAGCTCCCTGATTTATAGTTATTTGTTGATTTTGTTTTTTACTTTATTATAATTAGGTTTTTTCAAAGGCACACTACGGGGGTTGGGGGAGGAGGGAGTAGGATCAAAACAAGGGGGAATTATATGGGGACTATAACCAAGATGAAAATGCATACATTGTGCAAAAATGAAAAATGATGTAAAATATGTATAAAAAAAAGTGAAGAAAAAAAAAGAACGACTCCCATATATTTACTCACAGTTCTTTGTTTGAGCAGGGCCTGGCGAAAATGGCTCATTTCCTCTTGGAAGAAATCAAGTTGGGGTTGACTGGAACTGGATGAGAGTTCCCTCCCTTGTCTAGTACCTCCGCTGAGGCGGCTGGGATAGTGAGGGGCAGATTGGCTTGTCTCTCTTCTCTCCATGTGGGTTTTCGTTTGATTTTAATAGATGGTTGGATCCTAGGAAATTTCAGTGCATGTTGCCGGGTCTCTTAAGGACTTGTCCCAGAACTGAAACTGTATCACATTTCTTCTGGTCAAAGCAAGTCTGAGGCAAGTTTAAATTCAAAGACAGTGAAATAGATACTACTTTTTAAAGGGAGGAGCAGTATATGTATATAGGTTTGAAGTGAATCCTTACTGGCCCTCTGCAGATAATCACCCTCACATGCCTCAGTATGAAATGACAAAGGGAGAAAATAGAATTACCAGTGAGATCTGGAGCTGTGGAGGAATGTGTGTCTTGCAGGCGATATGTTGATGAAATCTACTACCAGAAGTGTGAGGCTGAGGCAAAGAGGGAATGCAGAAGAAATACCTTCATCACCTTCCTGTTGCCTGATTTCTGCCCATACAAGAGCCCCAGGTGATGCAATTCACAGAAGTCAATCCTTTCCAGGACACAGAGCAGGTCAGAAAAGGCCACCAAATGAATGGGGATGAATGGACAATTGAAGAAGAGTCAGCATTTAAAATTTTTTTATCTATTGTACTAGAATACATTTCATCAAGACAGAGTAACTTTCATTCTGATCACAACCAACTCCCCGAGTCTAGCAAATATCTGGCAGGTCACAGGTGCTCAGTAAAATGTATTGGACTGAACCAATGTATTGGTCACTTATCTAAGAACCTCTCATAAACTTGACTTTCCTTCTTTGTGATACTGCTGAGGAAACACCTGAAAGATGGTAAGATGGAGGTTATTGAGAAGGAGACCACTTTGGTCCTAAGACTGAGATTTATGTTTGGGGCTAGTTTATATATATAGCCTGTCTGTAAACTCTCTAGATTGATGCAGAGAGCTACTAGAAAACTGATCATAGAAGCTAGTGGTTCCCTCATGCTGGACTTAGGAGCTTTGAAGAAAGTGATTTATTTTCCTTAATGTATCACCCATGAGAAGGTGGAAATTAATCTTTATAATTCACATACCACAGTATTTATTCTTTTAAAGTGTAATTTCATGATTTTTAGAATATTCACATTATTCTAAACCATTCCACAGTCTAATTCTAGAACATCATCATCATCTCCCCTCAGAACCTGTATCCACTGCCTTCCCATTTCCTCCCAGCCCCTGGCAACCACTAATATGCTTTCTGTCTCTATGGATTTGCCTATGTGGACATTTCTATAAATGGAATCAACAAGTAGCTTTTTGCGGCTGGCTCCTTAAATTAAGCATGACATTTTTAAGGTTCACCCATGTTGTAGCATGTATTAGAACCTCATTTCCCTTTTACAGCAAAATATTATTCCATCATATAAATAGGCTATAATTTGCCTATCCATGCATCAGTTGACATGCATTTAAATGATGTACATTCTTTCTACTTTTGGGCTACTTTTGAAACAGGAGCGGTCAGGGTGGGAGGAGGATGGATGCTGGAATGGTTGGAATGCTTGCCCAGACTTTAAGGAGCTGCCAAAAGCTCCAAAAGGCTAAATGGCCCAAGGACTACAGAAATACAGTATCTATATAACAGGGCCTCTGGACTATAGCTGAACAACGTACAGTGCCTGATAGAGGACAGGTCACTGTTGGTGGGTTCTCACTTGCGCACACAATGTCAAGAGGTCTCAGGCTCTAGGAAAAACCACCAGGGAGTTTATTTTACAAATGGGAAAAGCTTACTGTAGCCACTAGTGGCCAGCTATCTCACCTCAGATCCACCAGAAGTACAGATGTAAGTACAGATGTCACCTCTCCACAGAACTGCACAGCAATGACCAGTAGTGATGGTCACCACCGGTCACCAGGAGTGTTCATCACCACTGATCAACAGGAGTGCTGGCCAGCGCTGGCCAGCAGTGATGGTCACTACTGATTTCCCAGAGGCAGTGTCAGAGACACCAAGTGTTAACAGCTTTCGGTGAGTTGTTGGACTATACCAACAAACAGGTCTTTGTGACACCAGGCCTGAAGCCTTTAGTGCTATTTTCAGACAATGTCAGTGACAAGACCAGAGGTCCAGTCTCTCATCCCATCTCTGAAGTCCAGTCTCTGACAGAGGTCTTTAGTTTCTCTTCTCCCTCATATCTTGGCTGTTGGATGCTGCTTCTTTTCTTCTTTTTTCTTTTTTAAGGATTTATTTATTTATACAAGAACTGGGGTATAGGCTAGAGACACAGGAGGGTGAGAGAATTCACCAGAGACAGAGTGGGAAGCAGAACAGGTAGACGACTGAAAGCACTGCTGAGGGAAGAAGTAGGCGAGACAGGAGAGGTCTGCTGCGCCATGTGGATATCTCCCTATCTGGCCAGGAATCGAATCCGTGCTGCAGAGGCTGCGGACAGCTTCACAGTGCTGCACTCAACCTGCTGCGCCACTGGGGAGGCCCTCTTCTTTTGTCTTTCCACATCAACTTCTTCTTTCTTCTTTGTTTGGAGGCCAGAAACAGAGTCTTCTCCTTTTGTTCAGGAAGATGGAACAGTGTCGCTCAGCTCCCTCCAACCCTGGATTATGTGCTCTTTCAGGGTGTCCCACCTACAAGTCTAATTGGACCATCTTTTTTCAATCCTTTGACTGATTGGACTATTTAGCACCGATCATCTCATAGTTTGCTTGTGATTGGTCCCTTCTATGATTAAAGAAGTATGCATGAAAGGGAGGTATGGAGCAGCAGGGTGAGAGCTCCCAGTGGTGGTTCCCGCCACTGCTGAGGTGGCTAATTTCCACCTATTGCTTGTTCCAGTATCACTTTGACTGGTACTGCTGTGAACATTTGTGTATAAACTATTGTGTGGAAACTTTTTTAAAATTCTCTTGAGCATATACCTAGGCATGGAAATTCTGGTATACACAGTAATTCCCTCCAGCAAAGTATGAGTGTTTCAGTTTCTCCACACCCTTGATAGCCCTTCTTTAGAGCCATCCTAGAGAGTGTGAAGTGGAATCTTCTTGTCATTTTGATTTGTGTTCTCCTGATTGCTAATGATAGTGAATATATTTTTATGTACTTAGTTGCCATGTATTTAGCTTCTTGGAGAATTGTCCATTCAAGTCTATTCAAGTCCTTTGCGCATGCTGTAATTACATTACTTGCCTTTTTATTGTTGAGTTGTAAGTGTTCGTTATATTCTGGCTATAAATCCTTCTTAGATATATGATTTGCCAATATTTTCCCCATTCTGTGGGTTCACTTTTTTTTTTTAAAGTTTATGTATTTATTTATTTATACAAGAACTGGGGTATAGGCCAGATTCTTGGGAGGGTGAGAGGATTCACCAGAGACAGAGTGGGGAACAGAACAGGCAGACTGATGAAATACACTTCTGAGGGGAGCAGCGTGCACGACAGGAGAGCTCTGTGGCGCCATGTGGGACCCTCGCCAGCTGGCTGGGATCGAACCGGTGCTGCAGAGGCTACAGACAGCTTCACAGCACTGTGCTCAACCCGCTGAGCCACCAGGGGAGGCCCTCTGTGGGTTCACTTTTCACTTTTTAAAAAAATATCCTTTTTAAATAAAGGTTTACTTATTTATGCATACAAGAACGGGCATACAGGCCAGGGGTACAGGGGCTAAGAGGATTCACCAGAGACAGAGTGGGGAACAGAACAGGTGGACTGACAAATATACTACTGAGGGGAGCAGCAGGCAAGATAGGCGAGGTCTGCTGCTCCATATGGGTCAACTCCCTGGCCAGGGATTGAATTTGTGCTGCAGTGGCTGTGGATAGCTTCATAGTGCTGAGACTTAACCCCTTGAGCCACCAGGGAGGCTACTTTTCACTTTCTTGATGGAGTCCTTTGAAGCACAAAAGTTTTTAATCTTGATGAAGTCCAATTTATCTTTTTTTTGGTACTTATACTTTTGGTGTTATTTTTAAGATACTATTGCTTAATCCAAGATAATAAAGGATTGCCTCTATATTTTTTCCCAAGAGTTTTGTTGTTTTAGATCATGGATTCAAATCTTTGATCCATTTTTAATTTAATGATATAAAGTAGGGACCTACCTTTATCACTTTGCATCCACTTGTCCCAGCACCATTTGTTGAAGAGACTATTCTTTGCCCATGAATTATTTTGGTACTATATTGAAAGCCAATGGATGATAACTCCGAAATTATACCTAATGTTAATAATAATGACTAGAATTATTATTGACATGAAAAGTCTTGTCTCTTCCCATTTTAGCACTTTTATTTCAGAGTTCATTGCAGAATCTCAAACTTGTATTCTTGATTAACCCAATACCAAATCCACCTAGGTTAACTAGCAGCACTATGGAGGAAAGGTAATGGTGTAAATCCTAGTCGAGACACCTGAGAACCAGGAGTGCTGATAGGTGAGGTCAGGAAAAGATGATGAGAGAGAGAGAGAGAGAGAGAGAGAGAGAGAGAGAAGACAAGAAGGGAGTGAAAGGGAGAGGGACAGGGAATTCACTCTTCCTTCACCCTTCCTCTACCTTCTTTATTCTTCAGACCCTCAAAGGATTGGATGGTGCTTACCCTCTTTGGGGAGGGCCACCTGCTTTACTCAGTTCACCAATTCAAAAGCTGGTCTCTTCTGGCCACATTCTCACAGACACCCAGAAATAGTGTTTCATCAGCTATCTGGGCATCCTTTAGTTCAGTTGATACACATAATTAACCATCATGCGATGAAATGAGTTTTAAGAGATGCCTATAGAACTGCGCATTATGGGGGAATAACTATGAAATGCTTTACAGATATAAAAAGGCAAATGTCAATGCTTTGGCCAGAGTTGATTAGGATGTCAGAAAGCAAGCTTTGCTCTGTGATTAATTAGCTGGGTGACCTTGCCCAATCACTTGAACTCTCTGAGTCTCAATTTCCTGGTCTACTGAATGTAGGTAATAATGCCAGGTCTAACTGGTATAAAAGTGCTTTGGAAAACTTGTTATTCTGGGCATTGCTTGCCTTTGAGTTGTTTATAGTACCAATTTATGCCTCTGCTTGGGGCCAACCCCAAGTAATGTTTACCATAATAAATCATTAACATGAGATTTCTCTCCACTAATCTGGGTGAGGGCCAGGCCCTGGTACTTGGCTCAAAGAAAGTAGTCATACAGTATTTAATAACAGCCATGCTGCAGGGAACTCTCAGTAAATACCTTTGGTAAAAAGTGACCAAAACAGATCAACCACAGTCATGTATTGATCACTTAGAAGGTAGAGGAAGAGTATTGAAAAAAGGAGGTGAGGGTATCTCAGATGATCATATATACATTGCTCACTTACCTCCCATTGCAAGCAGTTTGGGGGAGGAACATGGTTTGCCCAAGGGAACCCCATTTGATTGGAGGGGAACAGTGAACCAATTAAACAAACCATAATAATCCAAAGCATGAATTCTATTGCAGAGAAAACACATTTATGAATTATGAAACATTTAGCACTGGTTCTCTATATCCCTATGGGTTGATTTGGACTTAAGAATCTCACAATTCATGTTAATCTTTGGAAAATACAGATATCCCAACCGTTATTGATGGGCTGACATAAAATCTTTAACCATCATTTACTAAGTTAGAGAGTTACTGAAGAAAACCTGGAGTACCAACAACCCCCTTTCCAAGCCTATATCCTGACAGATTTCTGAGTGTTACTCTAGACTGAGTAGTTCAGACTGTTGAGATTTTTCACCTGTGGGGAACACATCATCTGATGTTGGGGAAGAGGGATGGCCCTGGAGCAAGAACAGCCCTTGTGAGGAACGGTGGAATTTTCCAGAGAGTGCTAAAGAAAAAGATGTTGCTTTCCTGTGAGAATGTGAAGATTCAGAAAAAGAAAGAGATTAGGACCTGTGGGCTTCCAGGAGGGAAATTCCCTTTGTGAGGGTTTAACCTCTTAGGTGTTTTTCCCTTTTACCGCAAATAGTTGTACCGAGTACATAGTTTTGTACTATTTCACTCATGGTCTGTAATTCCCTTTTGCTTCTTTGAACTCTCAGAACACAGCTATTTATCAGTTGTTAGTAAAATGGGGCTAACATTTAGCTCATAGGTGAGGATGAAATGAACTAGTACACATTCATTACTATGCTAATTCCAGTGAGTGAAGTCAGGACACGTGAGTGCTCAGTCCATGTTAACTTTTGTGGTGACTGTCATGACCACACCTGCTTCTCCTCTTCCTCTTCTTTTTTTTTTAAAAAATATTTATTTATTTATGCATATAAAAGCTGGGGTACAGGCCAGAGGTGTGGGGGGTGAGAGGATTCACCAGAGACAGAGTGGGGAACAGAACAGGCAGATTGACCAAAGTACACTGCTGAGGGGAGCAGTGGGTAAGTCAGGAGAGGTCTGCTGTGCCTCCTCTTCCTCTTCTTAAGGCCTTTTAGACCTGAGAGATCAGAGGCACTTGTGTTTTCGGCAGCTCCCTTATTAAAAAATAAGGAAATTACAAAAAAAGGATTGCAAAACACTGTGGTATGCTTTAAACAAAATTACATGTAACAAATTAATGTTTTGCCATACACATAGTAACAAAAGCCAAAAATGGTGCTCTTCACTAGTTTAGGGAGTTAGGATTGAGCCCAATGCCAAAAGGTGAACATTAGTATCTTCGCATCCTGTCTGCCTGTCTTTCTATCTTCATGTAGAACCTAGTTTGAAAATTAATTTAAATGCTAGTTTTAATCCTTTTTTGAACTGGGGGCTGGACAAAAAGGCCCTATGCACTCCTTGCTCCCCCAGTTTTTTTGTATTGAAGATGGATTCACAAAGGGAAGTAAGGATTCTCTCTTTCACACCCCCTTTCATCACCTTGGCAGATAGAGAGGTGGCTAGTGAAGGAGCAATGTAAAAGGGGACCATTCTGGAAGGGACAAATCACTAATGCCCAATTCCACCTCAGCATTTTCCCTAAAAATTGAG